TTCCGATCAAAATGATGTATCACTCGAGGTATTTTGAGGAAATTGAATTTTTTGGAAAAATCGACCTCCCCCTTATGAAATTTTCGACCAAAAATCAAAATTTTGCAATCGCGTTTTTTGCCCTTATTGGATTGTTTCCGACTTAAGAAGTTGCCCAATAGCGAACATGAAAGTTGCGGGTCGCAAATAAGGAAGATATCGTCCGTTGAAGTTTGCGACCGCTCAAAAATTTGCCGTCCAACGCTCATTTTGATCTTCAAAAGTTGATAGTTGAAGAATATTGGCATGGTTTGGAGGGAAGCAACACTCCAACGCTTCAACGCCTTTGTTGAGTGCAGCTGTTTTTGGTCGAGTTTATTTAACGAAAACCAGATCAGGACCGAAGTTGTTTGTTACACGATTTGAAGGACAAAACTCCACTCAAATTCACCCGGAAAGTGTCATTTTTCAGCAACTTGAACTCCAAGCGATATTCAAACGAGTTCTTATCGAAAAGAAAATCAACGTTTCATTTGACTAATGTGTAATAAAACATATACTTTTCACAATATAAATCTTCTGTATGTTTCTACTCACTCGCACTATTTCGCTTTGCTTACACTGTAGTTATTTATACAAACTTAAAAAAAATAAATATTAAACAACAGATCACAGTTCGATATACCCTAATAAAATACAAACTCATTAGCAATAGGTGGCTTAGTCTAAAACCGATAACAATAAATGAAATGTATACTTCCCGCATTGTTCTATAAAGTTTAAAGATTCAGTCGATTAGTACCCGCAGGTACGAAGTCTTTATAAGCTGGCTGCAGGTGCAGGTCGCAACCTCCTGAGCCCTGGAACCACCTCCACTTTCCCCAGCCCACTTTTCGCATGTCTCTTCTCGTGCTTGGCCAGATGATCCGAGCGCATAAATCGCCTCTGGCACACCGCGCATTGAAACCGTTTTTCTCCCGTGTGTGTTCTTCGATGTCTGGATAGTTCGTCCGATCTGGAAAACCTGCGCCCACAATCCGGCCACTGGCACGCAAACGGTTTTTCCCCTGTATGGGTTCGGTTGTGCGCCTTCAGATGCGACGACTTGAAGTAGTTCTTGCCACATCCGCGATACTGACACTCGTAGATGCGCCGGCGCTGCTCCGGCGCCACCAGCACAACCCGCGCAGGTACCATCAGGAAAGTTTGCGGCTGCGGTGAGCTGCTGCTTTTAGGCGCCAGTACTGCCAAGCTCCTCTTCACCCCCATTTTAAACTTGATGGCCTTCACCACATTCAAAGGCTCCGGGCGCAGTCGCAAGGGCACACAAGTACCGTCGCTGTTGGCCTTCATTATAACTGACGTGGTTCTCTGGTGCTGCTGCACTGCTGCCCGGATGTCCTGCACGGCAGGCGCCTGCAGGTCTGGTTGTTTAACGCTTTGGATGGGCGCGGTGTCGACGAAAGGGCGCAGATGGCGCTTCTTTAGAGGAAAATCGTGATCTTCGCTCTCGGAGTCGGATGGCTGCGGAGTGGGGGGAAAGGTGGTACCAGGGGGCACGCCTAGGTAAGTGCGCAGCCGCTGGAAGGTGGTTGGGGACTGGTTTGACTCGTCGTCGGACATCTGCATCAAAAAACTGCGTTATTTTTTTCAGGGTTTGCAGAATCAACTGGCTTCTATGTACCATCATATATCGGGTATATATTTATGCAATATTGGCAGATCATTTCAAAGATACATGTACTTGTAGAACATATACAAAGTCTGAATATTGTAGCACTATGTAATATCAGTTTCAGGTCATCAAGATCGAAAAAATCGATGTATATAAAAAGGCAACTTGAGAAAGAAGTTAATACTTTAACTCCAGCTATTGCTAAAAAGCATAAACCCAAATGGCAATTGTGAAAACACTAATTCTGGACGCTTTGGGTTAGAACTTCAGAGTGATGAAGCTTCTAATGTATATATCGGATTTTCCCTGGCTAGTGCTGGAGATAGAGAGGGTGGAAGAAAGTCCAGGCCGGTGAGTTTTTTTTTCGTTTAAAAATTGTTTCATTCAAGTAGACAAATAGCCATTATTTGTTTTGCAATTTTAGTAAAATCTAACTGAGTGTATTTTAATTCTAGGAACCAATATCAGGACAAAAATAAGATGTGCGTGTGGTAAAAAATGTTTGTTATTTAATTAATATATGTGGGTATTGTTCAAGTAATATGTGCATTATTTAATATTCTGATTCCTGACAAAAAAATAATTGAAATTAATGTCATTGTTAGGGTTGAATATTAATTTAAAATCTCTTTTGCAGTTATACAATATCTTAATATTCATTTAAATTTGAAGTGAAAATGCTAGTCGGAGAATCGATCCAAACTCCAGAGGTGTATCCGCCAATATTGAAATGTGAATGCATATATTTATTTTTAATTAAAATCGAATAAGAACTTGTTATGAGTTTTTAAAACTTACATACACGTGAATATAAGTTTTAAAAACTCATAACATGTTTTTATTATCCGATTTTAATTAAAAAGAAATATATATATTCACATTTCAATATTGGCGCAATATTTATTAACAATATTGAGCCATCCAGTATGTTGCATATAGCAAAAATCTTCTTAGAGTGTGCAAAATTTCAAGTTGCTCATGTACATGTCTGCAAATTTTGCATAATTCGAAAACTGCAAACTCTGTGTGAAAAATCCCAAACGGCCCTCTTTCCAAGACAAGTTCCCGATGTTGAAATTGAAATTATAAAAAATTTTGAAAAATTAAAAAAAAATTGTAGGCGTTTATTAAACCTACCACGAATAGAAGTTTCCTCCTTTTACCGTGTAAATCCACTTGGTAATGTTATGCAACCGAAGATACGTGCGCTGATTTGAAAGTGTGATCATTCGTCGCGTGCGTGATACCGTTCAAAACACTCCAACCAATAGAAACTTTGCCCATTATAAATAAACTGGAATTGTTGTTTTGCGCAAACAATTGGCACTCAAACAATGCATTTTTCCAAATCCAGAGTGCACTTTATTTAGAGGCGTCAGCTAGTTGGAGTGGGTGAAACCAAACGGGATTTTGCATATTTTCGCAATCGCCATGCTGATCACGCATGAAAACAACTGAGCTCTGTGCCACGCATCATCAAAGAAACCGAAAAAAAATTGAACATACCAAACCCCCTAAAATCGCGTTGGCAAAGAAACAAAACAGCATCGTTATGAACTGATAATACCGAAGTAGGCTTACAATGCATGCATCCAGCACGTGAACTTACGTGTTTCGAAGGGGGGCTGCATGGGGGCGAAAGCGTGATCATGGGAGGCGCGTTTGGCCCTTCCATTGTACCCAGCACAAATTGGACTGATTATCGCAGTTAAAAAATCTACCTCGTTCTGTGAGCTTTTCAAAGAAAAGTTGAATTTTACCACCGAAAAATGCACTAGTCTGTTTCGATCAGCGGCGCGCAAACAAATGAACGTCGGTTTTTGTTGTGTCGGGGTGTGTAAACGCACGTCGACCTATCAGAAATGAGGGCTCGTCCGTTTCAGCCAATCACAGCGCACCGATCACGCACAGCCAGCGTGGTCGCGTGCATGCTGTTCACGTGCACACCCGCTGATCGCAGCGGCCATGGACCGTGATGCTGACGTCATTGTAGCGTGCCGGCGTCGTGACGTCATGCCCAGCCCACTGGGATCGGAAAAAGTAGGCCTTGAATTCTCTGAATCAAGCGGGGCGTAGGCGTGGAAAACCTGATGTAAATTCCACTATGCTGTTTTCCTTCTATAAATCCCCATTTTTCCGGCTGTTCATGATTGGCCGATTTGATTAATTATTCTATTTAGATTGGGGTGGCGAGGGTGACAGGTCAAGGGGGTTTGATCGGTTCGCATCAGCTCGATTTTCTTGCCAACTTTCTACTTTTAGGCAAAGTTAGACAAACTCATAGATAACAGATGCACATTCCTTAAGAAAAATGCTGTCCAACACGCATTGAAATTTCACAATTTGATTATTATTTCAGCTGTTTACTTCGTTTTTGTTGGTAGGTTGTGACTTCATCAGACCACTTTCTAACGATTTTCAAAGAACGACTTGTTTTCGTTAAGCTTTTGGAAGGACAGATATGATGCAGATGCTAAAACGTGTATTTTCAATGAGGCGAGTTTCGATTTGCAGCCATCCTCAGCCCATTTTTTCGGAACTCGGCAAAATCTAACGCATGCACGCTCTCTTTTAAAAACTCATAGCTTTCGATGTCGAGCCGGTAGCAACTTGAAATCAGGGGCGGATCCAGCTTTAAAGTCAGGGTGGCGCAAGATTATTGCAAAATTTCATGTTTTCCGTGCCGTTTTGCATGTTTCTCGGAAGCAAAATGAGCAAGAACGCTCGTTTTTACATCAGAGATAACTAAATGGCCTTTATTCGAAGTTTCTCAAGAACCATTCAAGCCACATAATTCGTTTTGGCATCGTTGGATAGAGAATTGAAGAGTACATTCAGTCGTAACATCGTGAGTGAGGAAATTCGAGTAGTTTTGACCCAGAAAGCGAAATTTGAATATCAGACACTTCGGTTCAAGATTATGCCAAAATTCCAAAATTGATACACTCTGTAGCAAGGACTTGCAGCTCTAATTTCTAAAAATCTGTCTGAAATCGCGCAAAAGCCTGATTTTTACCAATCGTGTGAACCAGGGAAGAAAAATGAGCATGTAGCCCAACTGCGCGCCCTCTTTTAAAAAACTCCCAGCTTTCAATTCCGAACCGGCAAGAACTGGAAATTTCAGGAACTTGAAAGATGAAACTTGAGGCTGAAAACTTGCACAATTTCACCCAAATCCCGCAGGATTCTGATTTTGGGGAATCTCGTCAAGGATGGACCGCAAATAAACTTGCTTGCCCAGTTTTGTAACTGGATTCGCGGACTCTATAAAACCCCTTGGAGCTCACAACCCTCAAAGTTTCACTGTTAAGTACAATTTCGTTGCAATAAATTGCAAGAATTGCTTGATTTTGGCGATCGTGTGAATTTTGAACCGAAAACGCACACAGCTATACCTCCTGGGGCATCGTGCTTTGCCTAACATTTGAGGCAATGCAACATATAAGAGTTGGCATCGTTACTGTCAAACGTCACTGTCGAGTCTAGCGGTAGCCCAGATATGTTGATATGCTTTGGTCCGGCCCCGGTGAATGGCGCGCAGTTTGAAAATGTTGTTTTGTATTTGAAGTATTTTTGCCAAACAAATTGAAGGAGCATATTTAAGAATGAAAAGCCTCCTAAATAGTATTGGTACAAGAGTCTTTAAAGTCCGCAACCTAAAATGCAATCATATACATATTTATATATTTTTTGCAGTCGTATACGAGGTATATCAGAAAATATGAATTTTGTTCAAGAATAAAGTGACTTTTTCTATTACATATTTTTGACAATATATGATATATTTCACGGCGCTAAATGTAAATGTTCAAACTGCGCGCCATTCACCGGGGCCGCACATATAAACTATCTGGGCTACCGCTAGAAGCGAGTTGTTGACGTCAGCTGACTTGTTTTTGTGGGTGAAATTCCGAAATTGCTGGAGGAAAATGCCACGTAATTTTCACTGAGAAAACCAAAGGAAAATGGGAAATTCAAGCAGTGTGGAATTACCCGGTGGCGGTTCCGAAGGATACCATGTGCTTAGAGTGAGAACCATTCAACCCATACAATTTTGCTCAGCAAATTGCCAATTTATTTACCATAACTTTCAACATCGGCAAAGAGAACTAATTGAGGGTATTTTCGAAACTACTGTGAATTTGTAGCTTTAATCATGCATCCCGAACTCGTAAAACATCTGCTAAGGTTTCTTTTACATTCGTTAAAGTTCGTGCAACTTGCAACAGATTAATGGCCTGATTTGGGCGTTTTTCAGGTGTTTGCAAGCTTTTTAATCGTGAATGCCCTTTATAGTGTTGAAGTTTTCGCCTTCTAAAGCTTTCCATATCCAGCGATGTTAGTCTGCACTGACAAAAGTGTCTAAGTATTGTTTAACACTTTGGTGCAGGTCCAGGAGAACTCTCCAGGAGCAAAAGCCGGCCTGCAGCCGTTCTTCGACTTCATAGTGGTGATAAATGGGGTGCGCTTGGACAGGGATGATGGCCGACTGAAAAACATCTTGCACACTAACGTTGGTAAGCGCTACTTTATTTCCACACAGTGAAACCTGCACAACCGGGTTTGTCTACCACTTTGGATTGCTTTAAAATCTTTGATATATTTTTCAGGAAAAACGGTTCCAGTCACGGTTTATAGCTGTAAAACGCAAACTGTTCGCGAGATCCAGATCGTTCCAGACGACTCCTGGGGCGGACAAGGACTGCTGGGGATTAGCATCCGGTTCTGTTCCTTTGAAGTGGCCAAGGACAATGTATGGCATATCATGGAAGTTCATCCAGGGTCGCCTGCTGAAGCTGCCGGTCAGTCTCCATTCATATCCAACAGTCCAGTCGACAACGCTGTTTTGTTCCAGGGCTGCGCGCATTTTCTGACTACGTGATTGGTTCAGATTCGATTCTGCATGAAAGCGGGGATCTGTTTAATCTCATAGAGAACCATAACGGCAGTCCTTTGAAGCTGTATGTGTACAACTGCGAACAGGATTCTTGCCGGGAAGTTATTATAACTCCGAACTCTCAATGGGGCGGAGCAGGACTTGTTGGTGAGTTGCATAAAAATCAGCACACTTGGTATGTCCAGACCCAGTTTACTTCTTGGTGATCGAGTTGATTCTTTGAATCGAAAACGTTCATTTGTTGCAGGCTGCGGAATCGGTTACGGCTACCTCCATCGCATCCCAGTGCGCATCAGCACTTCTGAGCAATCCAACCCTTCTGTTGGTTCCCATCCACAGCCACACACAACAACTGCAGTTCCTATTGCAAGCATTCCGAGTGACAACACCCAACTGAGTACCGCTCATTTCGTCGGAGTATCCAACGTTGCGCCACCCACTTCGCTACCTCCCTTTATGCTGACTGCAGCTCAGACGCCTGTATCATCGTCAGTTCTGAGTACCAGCGCTGGGGTTCAGAAGCCCCAGATAAGCGCGATTCCCAGTATATGCGCTCAGGCGCCCGGAGCTGTTACGTCAGGCCTGCCTAGCTACCCGTTGGCGCCGCCAACGATTCCCAGCACGGGAGTTACTCAAGTCGCTTACTTACCACCAGCCACTCAAATTTCAGGGATTACCCCCGAGGCTCAGCTACCACCTCAGCCTGTTGCTTACACGTTTCAACCTCCCCCTGCAGTGACAATGTTTGGGCCAACTGCGACTACAGTTTCCACTATCGCTCATGTTAGTGGGCCAGTGACTCCTGGAAGTTTTGCGCTGCCGCCTGCATCTCAGCAAGCGGTGCCCCCAGTGCCGATGTATGATCCAGCCAGTTTCCAGCAACCGCAGTTGGCTGCTCAGAACGTTCAGAATCCGCTGATTTATGATCCCACCATCGCCGCCATGTCGGCGCGCCAGATTCTGAGCGGCAATTTGGAAACCAGTTAGGAACACCTTTCTAGTCAGATAAACGGAGTTCGGAAATTGATTGGGCACTCGAAGAACAGTGACTTTGCGGTTTAGCGATTATTATGCTCCGGTTTTAATCGAGAAACTTGTGTTTTTGTTTCGGCACTATAGTCGGTCACTTATGCGGATTTTTCTAGGGATTAAGGTAAACGTTTCTATATTTCTTGCTGTACACTATTTGATTGCCTTTTGTAAATAAAGTTTGTATGTGCTGTTTATTTTTGTGTTGAGCTTAGAAACGTTTTTCCTTTACTACAGTTACCTGAATTTAACCGACTTAAACTGCGATTTTTATTGTCAAGAAACCGGTTTGAAACAGGATTTTTCCAGACACTCAGGTTGGTCGATTTCGTCAAAAACTGCAGTTTTTATGAGAGCAGTTGTGCTGTTGGAAAGCAGGTATCTGCTTGAAATTTGCACAATCTATAGAAAAAACTCTGGTTGAAAATTCACAATTTACTGAACTCTTGACAAACTGGCATCATCAAAAATTATTCTCTGCCCAACTGCACGCCCTCCTTTAGAAATTCGTTACTTCCAATCCCGGGCAAGTATTAACTTGAAACTGGCACACCTTGTAGAAAATATTTGGCTCTCACCACTCTGACAATTTCACTCAAATCGCGTAAAATTCTGAATTTTGCCGAACTTGCGAATGGTGGATAGAAAATTAACAATTTTGTTCAATCGCATGCCCCCCTTTAAAAACGCATAACTTCCAATCCCGGGTAGGTGGAGACGTGAAATTTGCACAGTCTATAGAACATGCCTGCAGCTGCAAACTCCAAAAATTTTACCGCAATCGGATTAGATTCAGATTTTTGGCAACTTTTTAACTTACAGGAAGAAATCGAGCAAGTT